GTGTTTCTATAAAACGTTATATTCCTTCATAAATCATAATATGCCCTATTGTCTTCTTCAATACGTCATGACACTGGGCATGGGCTGATGAGGTGCGAGATATTGTGGTAGCTGCATCGCAAGTATCCTATCCTTTAAGACGAAATCATATGTAAGCCACCAGGTCGGACTTGACGGTCGAAATTTCCTGTTATATAAGCAGTCCATCCACGCACGTAGTTCACAGAAGTCACTTAAAAAACCTTCAAAAAAAGGTAAAGGGACTATTTGTCATTGGAACAAGAACAACTTCGGCGTGAACAAAAAAACTAAGTTGACAGACTGCTAATGAGCAAATGCTCGGTGAACTATGTTTTTCATGCATTTGTAACGTAAAAAAGTCTGTTGGAATTGCGTTTTGTCAATGTTACTGTATATGAAATCAACGAACAGGTCGTTTTCAACGACTGAAGCATGTTACCAAAATCATCACGTATTTATTAATTGCCAAACTCTTCCATCAAACGGGACTTGCCCGCATGTCATTGCAAGGGACCGCACAGTTGGGAGGCATGATTTAATTCCGACATGCAACTCGTTGTCAGGGATGAATAGATGGGCATTTTGCAGCCTTTTAGTTATTGCTGACTCGATCTCACATTCAGGTGTATACTTTAAAATACAAAGCATTGGGTGCGATCCGGATCGACCTCTCAGTTTCCTTTCCGAGGCGCAAGTGGTCTGCCGAGTCAAACCTCGTTCGGATGGTAGTATTGACAGTGTCGGGCGGGAATCATAGTCACGTGCGCTACACATCGATTTCGTCCTCACTTTCGTCAGAGGTTCCATTAGAACAATCATAGGGAGAGGAGCTTTTTCACTTGGCGCCTGCCAGAGCGGGGACCTATCAGGTCCTTTAGCGAAAGTAAACATCCGAATATCAATCGTGTTTTATTAATTATGGTCAAGAATGTGCTTAATCGCAATGAGGAGTCCATCTCAATGTTGGCCTCTCACAGTCTTCCACGTCGTGTGCAACAACAGGCGGGACTGTCTTAGCTGCTAACGGGATGGGAATATTTGTTTGATTTATATCCCGTGCAGATGTGATGCCGACGATTCAAAGATACTCGACAAAGCCACCTATGGATGTAGTGAAACTTAATCCGACAGTTATTGGCCGGCTGATCCATAAAACTCGCTTCCAGATGTTACTTAGAACGACGGCGATCAACCGAAATAATTGCCTATTGGGAGGGTATACCAAAGATGAACGGGATTTATTAGACTGAAAATCCATAAATATTTCACTCTGACAGACTGGGGCGACTGTAATCCTTTCTGATAATTATTAAAATTCTGGCCTTGACGACTTTTTGATAATGGAGCCTACAGTATGCATTTTTAGAATAACGTGTTACTGCCTCCACCTACGCACTACTTTGTCATTATACTATCCCAATATATCACACTTACAACCACCCGGCGTTGCCTTCAAGTAATATTAAAAATTCCAGATAGTAATTATTGCAGTACCTTTACCTCGATGAAGTGTTCCGTTTACTAGCATCTTGAAAGGCGAGACCTGCATGTCAATTTTTTGCCCGACCTCAAAGTTTGAGGCATTAGTTATGAAAAAATTGGCTGTTAACTTGAGTACGCCACGAAAACAATTTTCGGCTGGACTTGATAACAAGCAGTTATGTGAAATGTACGTCATATAGTAGAGTTCCAGTGTTCAACCCTTGCAGTTGGTGATATCACGGAGATCAACCAGTAACTGGGTAGACAGGGTTGTTTTAACTGATAACAGTAATCAGGTCACAAAGGGCGATGCTAGTCCCTTAGTAATTTATCGTCGCTCCGCACTCACTTGCTGCAAAGCCCCGTACCGGAACTCGGGGTCACAACCAGACGTCCACATTTCGTCCTGCAACTGTTTCATATCGTCGCTATATTCTTACATGCAAAATGTCAGCAAAGGTCAAGCCCTGACTGCCGTGTCATGTAGCACGGCACTACCGCTGTTATGAGGGTCAGTGGTAAAATTTGTTTGAATATTGAAGCAAAAAGCTTGTTTAACCTATTGACCTAGGTATAAACAGAATTCATTTTCATTGGACACTTCAGCTTGGTGACCACGCCCCGTTTTGCCTGTAAAAACTCTGCTGCATAAACGGTCTCCTGCATCTGTCCAATCTGCTGCAAGCTAAACATTCAGCGACAGAGACGTTTGTTTATGCATATGAGGCGCATTTGCATTCGCTCACTGGGTCTGTCTGATAAACATGCAGTGGCCGTTTGGCATCTTTTTCTCGCTCCTCCTTCTGTCTAACACGAGGGGCCTA